TCACTAAAACGAATTAAATTTAATAATAATTTCAAAAAAATCATAGAGTCACACAATTTGGTAGGTGGAGGGAGGCAAGGGTGAAGGAATTGGGAAAGATCAGGTGTGAAAAAAATGTATACAAACTTTGTAGAGAAATCAGTATAAAAAACAAACAAGCAAAAAGATAATATGTATGAACCGTTGAAGACAGACTCATTTTCTCTGTACACTTTCTCTCAAATAAATAATAAAAAGCTAAGGGGGGGAAAAGAGGAATTTCAAACCTACATAGCCAGATAAATGTGGACATCGTGGGTGTGGTATCAGAAATTATATCTCTGATGCAATTTGCCATATGCTCAAGGTCAGTCTTTTATTTACTACAATGTCTAGGTCTGTTGTATGAAGAGGTAGAAGAGGTCTACTGATGTGTAACAAACTATCCTCAAAACTTAGTGGGTTAGCATGTGTAGTGTTAGCCTAAAAGTTGGCTGCGGGGTGGGGGGGACAGTTAGCCATTTAGCTTCTGGCATCCAGCTACCTTCACTGTAGACACATGATGGTCTTGCAAATCACCAACTGCAGTGGAATTAGGATAAGAGAAAGAGTGCTTCCCACAACAAGCAGTAATATTTGAGGCGAGTAACTTTTGGGGAGCAAGGCTTGTGGTGGCAAGACCCTGGTGAGAGCATGAATCTTGTGGTGGGAAGACTGTGGCATTGCTGTGTACAAATGGTGGCAAGTTGTGACCTGAGGCTTCCTGCATCTGTGCTGGCCACAGTTAAAGGTTGGCTCTTCTTGCCAGATGTTTGAAGGAGAAGCTGACTTTACAATGCTCTGAGACAAACCTTGCTGGATGATATGGTTATAACTGCTCTGAGGCAAACCTTGTTCTATGATTTGGGTTTGACTGCTGAACTGAAAACCAGAACCTGGAATTATTGAGGAAGCGTGCCTTGGGCTAAAGCCTGCACTTGTATTGTGAGAAATTCTTTGCCTCTCCCACTCACTTCCCTAATAAACCCTATTGTTGGTACAATAACAATGAGTCAGCAATGAATAAATGAACTTCTTGCTGCTGCTGGGGCTCTAGAGGCACTATGGGGCTGGGCTACAGGCTCTTAACCTGCTTTCTACTCTGGGACAGTGAGAAGCTGTGCTATCTTTACTCCCTCTGACCCTTTCAGAGAGACATTCATGGCCTGTGCCTTATGGTCTGTTTTCTCCTATTTAGACAGTGTGTTAGCTGTTTAGGGAGTTCTATTTGCAGATGATTCTATAGTTGATCATGCAAGGCTCTGCTAGGATGGCTCATTTTTTTTTTACATCACATGTTTAATGTGCCAACTTCATAACAAGGTTTAAGGGTGACACATGTCATACAAAAGCATGAACACCTAATCATCATGCTTATGAACTGGAAAAAGTCTACAGAGACTTTTTAGCATAGTCGCTGGACTTCTTTACATGGGCAGCTTCACTTTCAGGAGTTTTCGGAGGATGAAATTCCAAGTTCTTAGAGAATGAATGAGCAAAACCTTTTTAGGCATAGATCAGAAGTCTCTTAGCCTGCATTCTCTTGTATGGAATAAATCTGAGTATCAACTTTGGTTCACTGAGGAAATAAATATACTTAGCTTCTTGATGGGAGATAAACTGAAGCATGGTAAAGAGCATGTGGGATGAGGAAAGTTATTGCATCTATTATCAGAAAGACTGTTACATCCTAAAAATTCAATAACTCTTTGTTGAATGAGCATTTGAGCAAATGGATGACAAGAGAGCAGAGGAAAGCCTCTGCTTTGAAAGTCATTGAAAAAGACTCCAGTTTAGGATTCTGATGCAATAAAGGCATCTATATCTCTTCTTCTAGTTATCTTCATATTTGCCTCAAAACTCCTCAGAAGATGGATTTCCCAAAATTCGTTGGCACCAGACAGCTGACTTTGGCTACGCCCCCAATGCAAAGATGCCCAAGACTTTCATGGCTGTCACCATGGATCTTGGCGATAGGCATTCGCCCCTTGGCAGGTATGATTGCTGTTTAGGCTTTGCTTGAGCAGTGTATATTCTTAGTTATTTGAACAATGTTATTAATCAGTGTTCACAGGTGGTTTAAAGATTGTTGTTATGTGCCATTGAGTCACCTGCGACTCATAGCAACCTTATGTACAACAGCCTTAAACCCTGCCCTATCCTGTGCCAATCTTATTGTCTCTGACCTACCTACCCTCATTAACCCTGACACTGAATCAATCCATCTCATTGAGGGTCTTCCTCTCTTGTCCTGTCCCTCTACCATTCCATAAGCATATCTTTATTAAAGAACAGCCTTTTATGTGAGGATGTGCTACAATAATAAAAAGTTAGCAACATCTCAGTTGTTGACAAACAAAAACTTATTTCTTGCTCATGCTCCATATTTAAAAGAGATTAGTGGAGAGGCTTATCTTCTTGTAGTCATTCCCAGACCCAGCTAGGACTGGTCCATATTGACCTTTGATCCCATGGTTAATTTGAAGTCTCAAGGCAGGGACAACACTGACACTAAAGTTAACTCCACAATAAGGGATATACCTTTAACTTGCTGGTCTGTCTGATGCTTCTCTAAATCTGAACATTCACATTAAGACAGACTTGGAAGAAGGATTGGCCATCCACTTCTGAAATAGCAGGCCTCTGAAAACCCTATGTACAACAGAGCACATTTAGATAACAGAAACGGCAAAGGAGGCTGAGTTTTCAAGTATGGAAATACAAAGGATTGATTCAGTGACTGGGATAATTGGGATGGGAGTGTCAGAGACAGTGCGATTGGCACAGGACAGAGCAGAGTTTAGGGCTGTTGTACATAGGGTCGCTATGAGTCGCAAGCGACTCGACGTCACATAACAACATGTTATCAGATAGATGATTCACCTGAAAGCAGTACAAGTCATTTCTGCACACATTACAGAAGGGGCACACATTAGCCCATGCCAGCAGAAGCAAAATGGAATTCTACCATCTACCCAGCAGGAAAGTAATGGAGTGTTTGTGAACAGCCCTATTGAATAACATTCTATGAATATAGGATAAAAGGAGATTTCAAATGTGGAGTAGAGCTCAACACTTAGTATATGGATTGCAGTTGTCATTGTATGCCTTCAAGTCAGAACTGGACCATAGCTGACCCTCTAGTGGGTTTTCAGAAATGGTAAATTGCATGGCAGGAGATTGCCCATCCTCTGGTGGAGCAGCTGGTAGATTCAAACTGATCCCAAAGGGATTGCAGCACAGCTTCTTACCAGTAGGCCACTGGAGCTCACTCTGGATTGTAGTAGGAGTTTGATAATATTAACAGAATGAGTGAATAAAAACTAGAAGGGACCAAGTATTGAACAGCTGATCCAGATGAAACACAGGACTTTCAACGGTTGTGATAATAGTCCATGTTAGCTCCACCTGGTCAATTCCAGTGCTCTTCTTTCCTACTTTCCCCTTCCTCCTCCTTGATCTAGTTTCTCAAGAGTTCCAACTCAGAGGCCTCTCTCTGGCTACACTTTACTAGTTCTTTTAAGCTGGTTCACTACAGATCAGTGGCTCTTAGGTTAAACAAAGCTACCCATTGCCACTGAGTAGCTTCTAGCTCACCAGACCCTCTAAGTCAGAGTAGGGTTTTTAAGGCTGTTGGTCTTTATGGAAACAGACACCACCTCTTTCTCCCTTGGACCCACTGGTGGTTTTGAAGTACTGACCTTTCCCTTAGCAGTTGAGTGTTTAACCGTTGTGCCACCTCTTTATTTTCACCTTCTTAATGGGTACTTTTATTTTATAAAAAGTGCAGCTATTGTGAGCTGAACCCCAAATTATCTATTCTTTTCCTGTAGCATCCACCCTCGAGATAAACAAACAGTGGCCTATCGGCTGCATTTGGGGGCCCGTGCTGTGGCTTACGGGGAGAAGAATTTGATTTTCCAAGGACCACTGCCTAAGAAGATGGAAGTGTTGTTTAGCAAGAGACTGCTGAACCTCACATATCAGCAGCAAATCCAGGTCCAGAGGCTGGACAAGCAGATATTTGAGGTGAGAAAAAGGGCCAAGAAGATACAGGTTTACCCTGTGGTCAGAGCCAAGATTTCCTTGGAACTGATATCCCTCCTCCTAAGCCAGGTCTTGGTTGGTGGGAGATAAGACTGAGCTTATCTGAGGGGGAACTGAACAACTGTGACTTACTTTGCTTAGAGGCAATTTTGGTAGACAGGTTAGTCACAGGAAGGAAAATCACCCCACACTAAAACAATCAACATTTTCTGTTTTATCCCCAGGACAGCACCTTTGCTCTGGAAGGCACTTCTGCTTTTATTTTTATGTTCCTTATGGAAAGAATCCTTGCTTAAGAATCTTTTCTCATCTTTGGGTACCCCCCTCCTTTAAAATCACATTACTTTAAACTCTGATATCCTTTTGAGTTTAGTTTCTCCTTTGGGAAGATTAAGTTGGTGATTTATAAATTAGATTGAATTAATGCAATAAAACAGCTTTCTTCTATTAACTAGGAAGGAGCCTTCCACTACAGGATGGCAGCTGTTGATTAAAGAGGTTGGTTAGGAATCCTCTATAATTTGGGATGGTGAGGACTTTCCTAGATGCAACCCCTACATGGTGTCTTTTGGTATCATGCATGCCACTATTATGCTGGAGAGTGAAGAGAAGACATTGAAAAAGATGGAAGAATATTAAAGATAAACTTCATATACAGTTTATCTAGAGCTGCTCCTCCTTTAAAACTACATGTCAGCTAGATTGACATCAGTCCATTTAGTCAGTGCTGCTTCCACTTCTTTTGCTTTCTGTGGATTTGGAGTGAGGTCTCTGTGTTCCAGGTTCTCTTTAGGCAGTTGCTAGCTGTCTGTCCATCATTTGAATCATGAATCCTAGAAGAAGTCAGGGAAGAATTTGTCTTCTGGATAATTTTTATATCTTCCTCCTTATTGCCTTCTGATTTAAAAGAAGGTTTATTGTCCACAGTTCCTTTCTTATATTGTCCATTGTCCTTTGGGAGCACCCACTGGGGAGCAGCAGTAGCCATAGTACTGAGCTCACTCACTTTCCTGCTTGCTTTGTCATTTGTTGGGGGCATCACTGGAAGAATGTCAGGGGAATCTTACAGAAATGCTTTATGTGTCCGTGTTTCCTTGTCTGTAAGTTAATTTTCTTATATCATAATTGAAACACTTTAATCACATGAAGATTTATAATCAAGCTGTGGTTGTATTGACTAGGTCCACTCATCACCATGGGAAATGATTTTTGACTAAGAACGGCTCCTGACCCCCTTCCCGATCTCTCTGAAAGAACAGTTCCTAACATGTTTGAGTACCATCTAACTGACATTCTTATTCTGTGGTGGTTTTACTAGATCTCCTGCTGTGGTGACCATCAGTGCAAGTGGCTCCCAGCGCCCATGGACACTTTCTCCAACTGGACGCTGGTTCTGAATATAAGTTCCTGTCCTGGCCCTCTGGCTGCTCTCCGCTATGCCTGGACCACGTGGCCTTGCGAATATAAGCAATGTCCTCTGTACCACCCCACTAGTACCCTGCCAGCTCCTCCTTTTGTTGTTTTCTTAACAAACTAGGTTCCTTTAGATCACAACAAGGATCCTCAATGATCCAGTACTCTCAACTCTTGGAAATGAGGGTGAGTCCTGTGAATCTGTGCACTCAGCCATCACAGTGATGACAGCTGCTGCTGCTTTTCTTTTCTGTTAAAATTTTAGTAAACGTTTACAAAGAGATTGGTTTGAATTCATCAATTCATACACATTTTCCTCCCTACACCTCCCCTAATTCCCTCTGTAACACTTCTTCTGTTACAGATTGTTAATTGTCATATATGTAATGTCTAATCATCCATTCCTCCATATGAATGGCTAGAATAAACTGTGATGCACCCACACAATGGATAGTATGTAGCACTGAAAGACAGTTTGTTGGGTTTATAATGAATTAATAGGCAAATCTTACTTGTTAGATCCCTTCAAGTTAGTGGTGAACCATGGACAATGTAATAAAATGTTTCTCAGATAGACCTGCACTATTGCTATGATCAGTTATCATTCTGATTCAGAAGTGTTTCATTGCATACAGGTTTTTTGGAAATAGATAGCCAGGGTTTTGGTTTGTATGTTTGTTTTCCTTGTGCATCTAGTGTGGAAGCTCTGCTGAAACCTGATATATCATACATATTCACTGACAGGGATGATGCCTGTGCATCAAGTGCTTTGGCTAGGAATAGAATCCAGTTCTTTTGCATGGAAGGTGAGAATCCTATTATTGAATCAACACACATTTGCTTTGTGTCACCTAGGTAGTCTGGAGCGTGTACTGGAATAATTCTGGACTGTAGATTTATTGGATCTCAATTTTATTTTCTTCCTTATGAGCAAGAGCCTATGGGGATGAAGGAAAAAGTTCAAGCTTCTTTGAAGGAATTGGCAAAAAATAAGGCCCCAGGAGTAGATGGTATACCAATTGATGTATTTCAATGAACAGATGCTGCCCTAGATGTGCTCACCAAGTTCTGTCAAGAAATCTGGAGGACAACTACTTGGCCAACTGACTGGAAGAGATCTATATTTGTTCCCATTCCAAAGAAGGGTGACCCAACAGAGTGTGGAAACTATAGAACAATATTGATATCACATGCAAGCAAGATTCTGCTGAAGAATATCCAAAAACAACTGGAACAGCACATCAATACAGAACTGCCAGAAGTGCAGGCTGAGTTTAGAAGGGGTCATGGTACTAGGGATATTATAGCTAATATTAGACAGATCTTGGCTGAAAGCAGAGAGTACCAGAGGAATGTCTATCTGTGTTTCTTTGATTATGCAAAGGCATTTGACTGTGTGGATCACAACAAACTGTGGTTGACTCTGAAATGAATGGGAATCCCAGAACATTTGATTGTGCTGATGCAAAACCTATACTTAGATCAGGAGGCAGTCATCAGAACAGAGCAAGGAAACACTGCTTAGTTCAAAACTGGGAAGGGTGTTTGCCAGGGATGTGTCCTATCTCAAGGAAACACTGCATAGTTAAAAATTGGGAAGGGTGTTTGCCAGGGATGTGTCCTATCTCCATACCTTTTCATCGTATATGCAGAACAGATGATCCGGGAGGCTGGGCTAAATGAAGAGAAGTGTGGCATGAGGATTGGAGGAAGATTCATCAAGAATTTATGTTATGCAGATGACACAACCCTGCTTGCTGAAACTGAGGAGGACCTGAAGCACTTGCTGCAGGAGGTCAAGGACTTCAGCCTTCAATATATATTGAGGCTCAGCATCAAGAAAACAAAGATTTTCATCACAGGATGGATGGTGAAGAGATTGAGATTGTTCACAGCTTTAGTTTGCTTGGCTCCACAGTCAAAACTCCTGGCACCAGCAGCCAGGAAATGAAAAGGCGTATTGCCATGGGAAAGTCTGCTGTTAGGGACCTTCCCAGGGTACTGAAGAGAAATGGTGTAACTCTGGAGACTAAGGTGTGCCTGATACAGGCTGTAGTCTTTGAAATCACTTGCTATGCATCAGAGAGCTGGACAGTGACTAGGGAGGATAGAAGGAGAATTGATGCCTTTGAGCTGTGGTGTTGGAGAAGAGTATTGAATATACATGGACTGCTAAGAACAGGAACAGGTTAAAATAACCCAGTTGTAAAATGGGCACAGGATATGAAGAGACACTTCACCAAAGAAGACATTCAGATGGCCAACAAGCACATAAATGTTCAAAATCCCTACCTCTAAGAGAGATGTAAATCAAAACAACTATGAGATATCATTTCATCCCCGCAAAAATAGCAAAATTCAGCAGAACAGTAAACATCAAATGCTGGTGAGGTTGTGGAGAAACTGGAACCCTTATTCACTGCTGGTGGGAGTATAAAATGGTGCAACGACTATGGAAGTCTGTATGGCACTTTCTTAAAAAGTTGCAAATACCATTTGACCCAGCATTTCTACTACTGGGAATGTACCCTAAAGAAACCATAACTGCCATCCAAGCAGATACATGCACACCCATGTTTATCGTGGCTTTATTCACAGTAACAAAGAGTTGGAAACAACCTAAGTGCTCATCAACAAATGAATGGATAGAGAAGCTGTGGTATAGTCAGTCGATAGAATACGATCCTGCATTGAAAAACAAGGAACTCATGAAATATTATACAAAATGGGTGACCCTGGAGGACATTATGCTGAGTGAAATATCTCAGTCACAAAAGGACCATTGTTGCATAGGGCCATTGTTGTAAAACAGGAATGACATCGAGGTTGAGGGACGACTGAGAAAGAGGGGATAAATAATGTATACTGTATTGAAACAGATGAGGGAGAGAACTCTTTAAAAGGGGTATGTGATTAGGTATTATTGTCATGACAGGAGTCCAGAATGAAGGCTGCACAGTGGAGTGGACTTGGGGGGAGGGATTGTATAACAAAGAATTTTCTTTTACTTTTCAAAGAGAAGAGCGAATTAGGGGGGAAGGGGTGGACAGGGAGAAAAGTGCAACAATGAGTGAATGGAAACCGTAAGTCTCTGTAAACTTTCATGAAAATTAATTAAAAAAGGTTATATCCAACAGGAAAAAAAAAGACAGGAAGGAAAGTAAACACCAAAACAGACATAAGAAGAGATGCTAAAACTTGCTCTTCAATCTAAGAGAAAACAAAACAAAGGGAAGAAATGATGAAGAGAATCATACACAAAATTTCAAGGGCAGCTAGAGAAGACAAAGCAAAATAATATGGAGAAATGTATAAAAATCTGGTAGTTCCCTGTCAATGCACTGTTACAGCTTTTTTTTGTTGGTTGGCATACAGTAATTCATATATATTTTGTTTCATTATGTACATTGTATTTTATACAATCTTTCATTTATGTTGTATTTCATACAGTCATTCATATACATTATCTTTTATTAAATTACTGTTGGTCTATGCTTCTTATTATTCCATCTTTTTTTGAGTCTCCATTGAATCTTTTCTATTCCTTCACGCACCCACCCCTCATGCCCCGCCGTTCACCCCCGAATCTCTGCTACCGTAATGATTTCCCCTTCTCCTTTCCTCCCTTTTCCCTTCCTCTTTTGGACATTTATCATACTAGTTATCCTTCTATTTTTTCAACAACAGTCTTATGGGGTATTTGTCCTTATGAGACTTAAGTTATTTCATTCAGCACAATGCTCTCTAGCTCTCCTTTGTTACAAAGTATTTTACAAAATTGTTGTTCCTTAAAGCTGTGATAGTATTTCCTTGTGTAAATGTACTACAATTTCTCTTACTGTATATTAGTTCAGAACAACTGGAATAGCACAGAGAACTGCCAGAAATTTAAGCAGGATTCAGAAGAGGCTGTGGAATGAGTATTATCATTGCTGTCAGATGGATGTGGCTCAAAGAAGAGATTTATTAGAAAGATGTTGACTTAGCTTTTATTGACTATGCCAAGGCATTGGACTGTATGGACCTTAATAAATTATAACTAACATAAAGTAGAAGGTAATTCCAGAAGAATTAATTGTACTCACATGAAATCTCTAGATAAACCAAGACACAGTACAGTTTAAAATTAGGAAAGGCGTGTGTCAGGGTTATTTTATTTCTCCATACATATTCAGTCTGTATGTGGAACAAATAATTTGAGATATTAAATTTAATATATGAAAAAGAATGGAGGGTTAGGCTTGGAAGAAAATACATCAACAACCTGTTATGCAGATAACACAATCTTGCATTCAAAAAGGAAAGAAAGCATGAGTCATTTACTGAGAAAGATCAATATGGATTACATTTCAACATCAAGAAAACAAAAATCTCACCACTGGACCAATAGTAAACCTCATGATAGATGGAGTAAAGAATGAAGTCGTCAAGTTTTTAATTTTACTTTGATCCACATTCAACTTCCTATGATACCAACAGTCAAGAAATCTAAAGAGGTTTTACTTCAGGGAAAATCTGCTGTTAAGGACCACTCCAAAATGCTGAAGAGCAAATATGTTAGTTTAATGACTAAGGTACCCTTATCTCAGCCATGGTATTATCATATGCTTCACATGGATATGAAAGTTGGACAATAGATAAGAAAGACTAGAGAAGAATTGATTGCTTTGAATTGCGGTATTGGAGAAGAGTATTGAATATTCTATGGACTTCCAAAAGAATGAATAAATCTGTTTTGGACAAAGTGCAACCAGGGTGCTCTTTAGGGGTGAGGAGGGTGAAAATTTATCACATACTTTGGGCATGTTGTCAGGAGGGGCCAATTCTTGAAAAGGCAGAAAAGAGAGTCACCACAAGGGATGAAGACCTCGACCAGATGGATTGACACAGTGACTGAGACCAGATGGATTGACCTAGTTACTCCAACAATAGGCTTGAACAGAATGGAAATCTTGAAAATGGCACAGGATTGGGTAGAGTTTGTTGGTGTTTTTTTGTTCATTTTGTTTTTTTCTTGTGTACTGTCAAATCTGATCCAACTGGCACAGGAGGAGATTGCCCCTCCTTCTCCAGTGGAGCATCTGGTGGATTCGAACCATGCACCTTCGGGATTGCAGTGCAGCT